AGTTGGTCGTACTACTTGGTGGATCCTAAAGCTTCAAGTATATAATTTCAAGGTTGTTTATTGCTCAAGGATAGTTAATGCTAATGCCTTTTCTTAAGCTCTTTTTCCTTTTTCATTTTCTTCTTCTACTCTTGATGAGTCTGTTGTTTCAGCATTAGTGGTTTTTTTGAATAAGGATTCTATACTATTGACAATTTTTATATATGATGTTCAATGTCCATAAGTTATGGAGCAAGATTTACTTTCTTTTAATGAAGCTCAAAAAGTTGAACTATGGATTTGAAGGCTTCATGAGGGGTTTGAAAATCTTGCATCACTTGGTGATAATTTATTATTTCAGTATTTACATTCTCAATATCACCTTGAGAACAATACTCTTTATTTTATTGAGATTGATCCTAATGGTCATTTATAGTTAGTGGTGCCTTTAATATTTATTCCATGCTTTCTCCATACTTATCATGACTCTTTTATTCTAGGCTAGTATATAGAACATCAATATGTCACTAAGAAACTACATAGAACTTTCTATTCATTAGAGATGTGATATGATGTTATTTGATATGTTTGTAGTTGTGTTTGCCAAGCTTATAATACTTTCCTTTGTATTGTGGAAGAACAATTGGAATTAATTGTAATTTCCTATTCATTTGAGTTAATGGTGTTATATTTGATGGGGCCTTTTCCACGGTTTACGATTGGCAATGAGTATATCATTATTGCCTCTAACAATTTAACTCGTTAGATGGAAGTTGGTGCTCTTACTAGTGCAAAGACTAAGCAAAAACATTTTTATATATATCTAGAATATTAATTGCTTTGACTTTTTAGCAACTGGTATTGAGTACTTCCTCCTCAATCAAGTGGTGTTCTAACATTTATGTCTGAAGTGGATCCTTGCAGATAATGATCCTATAAGGCATTTCACATTTTAATATCTTAATTGAGGATACACCACATTTTCACGAGTACTTATCATTCACAAATATATAGCTTAATATGGACCTTCAAAGGGATGATCATGAAATATATGAACTTTCAACATTTGGATTGAGATAATTATTTGCCATCTCTTTAGTATGCTTATATCACAAAGGTACAGAGTGTTGTTGATGCTTCACCAAATAAACTTTTATATGGTCATGATCCGATACTGACAATAGAGTTGAGTTTACCTTCATGATTACTATAAGTTGCCAATGTTAGGTATTGGGATTCTATTTAATGAGCATTCTTCCACTTATCCAAGTAGTGTCTACTAAACACTATGTATAAGTGAGATAACAATAGCACTACAACTCCCATCATCATCTACTTGTGAAATATAAAGTAGATAACTTGGCATTAGTTTACTTTCTCAATCTTATAGTATATGGTTTGTTGAAAGGGCTTCTTGCTCAGTGGAAGGGATCATATTAGGTGTTGTAACAAGTTAAACCACAAGTTTATGAGGTTCAGCATGACATTCAGTAAGCCAATCCTCTAGAAATTGTGTATGTGTAGCAATTAAAATACTTTGTCAAAAGGGATTAAAAACAACTGACACCACCTATGGATCCATTAAATGCCTCCTCTTGATATTCTTTTAAATCCCGACTTATCAACCAAAAAACCCTAATTACTTTCCATCTTTCCAAGAGGAGGGATGATTTGAAGTCTAAGTATATGGCTCTAATGCTGTATATTAATTAATATAGTGGGATTTTGATAGCCATTAGATTGGTTTCAATTTAAACCACTTGCTTCTATATATATGTTTAATTAATATAAACATATTAATTAATATATTTATATACACATAAACATATTAGGTTAATTAATATACACATTTTTGGGTTAATTAATATATACATTTTTGTATTCATATTCCATGCACTCACATAATATTTCTATTATGGGGTATGCTATATATGCATGGGGTATGAGACCTTAGGCTTCTATATAAAGCTAATGTCATATCATCCTAAATAATGGGATGTCACCACAAATTTAGCCAACAATATTTTTCTTCATTCTTATAAGTGTAGATTTGTGATTTGTTGATTGTGATCATCTCTTTCCTTTCATCTTTCATGGTTATGGCTCATTTCTTATGGCCTAGAGGTGTATATCGATTGCAATATGCCCTAATGTAAATACAGTGCTTTAATTGATCTCACCTCTTATATCTTGTAGCTTCTTTGCAACACATTGCCCTAATCACGATCAATTAGAGTGTGGTGGCAAGCTTAATTGATTAAAGTTAGGCTCCATACTTGATTAATTGAAGCATAGTGGTGGAGGTAAAATATTTCTTGAGTGCTTGGAGTGTTGAGTGCAATGGGTTGTTTGCAAGCTAATGGATTTTGTTATAGCCATAATAAGGCATTAGCTTGAAGTTTTTAACATTGTAATGATTTGTTGTGTTTAAGTTTATTATGCAAAACATTTTTTATTATCATTAGCCAAGAAACAACCTTAACAATGGCAAATTGGCTTGTAACATCCAAAAAGCAGTCAAACTCTAGCTTATGTGCTAGAGAATATTACTCTTAAAAGCCTTAAGTCTAAACCTTAATGATATTTGATGTGGAGTTGAAATTTTTAGAACACAAAAAAATGCATATTTAGTGTTAATTTAGACTTTGTGATGCATACATAGTAGGCACCAATGCAAGTTATGTTCAAAAAAGCTGTGTTCAAAATATTATTTTATGAGTCACACATACATATGTCTTTTTTTATATATTTTATATGCTTCTAAATTTTGCCAAGCCACCCACCTTGAGTACAGTTGCCTTTTTAATAAGTGTATTTCCCCTGAAAGTTGCCATCACAAATTACTCTCCCTCAATTTTTTAAGATAATAAAATTGAGGGAGAGTAATTTGTGATGGCAACTTTTGGGGGAAATACACTTATTAAAAAGGCAACTGTACTTAAGATGGCAAAATAAGATAATATGTATAATTTTATTTGGATAAGAAAAACTTTACCAAGTGGTTTATATTATTAGATAAGTGACTATATTGTCAAAGTTTCTTCATGGGGTATAAAAAACCTTTACTTTAAATGATTTTTTTCCCCACATTGGTGGCCAAATTCACAAGGCAGCTTTTTTATACACTTACTCTACACGCACTAGTAAAGTTATAGATTTAGTAAAATTTATTTTCTATTAATGTTGATAATATTTGTTACAGCAAGTGGGATCGGATCGACACCAGCTCGTCTGATGACGACGAGGCAAGGACGCACGAGGCACCACCAACGCTGCCGTACTCAACAACATCAGGTGAGGGTGAGATGATCCAGTGTGTGCGCGTCTTCTGCAAGCGTGGCCCTGGTTTGGTGTCCAGTGAGGCGGTGGTGCTGAATACCAGCCACCCCATCTTCTCCTCCGCGCCCGTTTCGCCGGTGTCCAAGCTGATCAAGCTGCCGTTGCGAGTGTTCCAGGTGGACCCGCTGCCCAACCCGCTCGGCCACCCTCTGCGCGGACTGTACGAGAACCAGGGCATCACCTATCTCATGATTCAGCCGGACTCTGGCTTTGCACCGCTGGAGTACCAGGATGGTGTGGGAACAGCAGTGGTAGCCAGGGACGATAGGAAGCCGCTGTATGAGAAGCACCTGGAGGCCGTGTTGATGTTTTTGTCTCACCTGCTCGACCTCTATAGTGAAGGCGACTTTATGGTTCCGCAGAGGAAGATGACTCGCTCTGGGTTTGGGGACTTCTTCCAGTCGTACAAGCGTAGCAGGGCCTTGCTTGATCAAGCTTGGGAGCTGCTTGATTCGCCATTCGAAGACTAAAGGTATGCACAGCTAAGGAAATCAGAGCGATCTTTCTGTGGAGAGAACTTTGTTAGCCTATGTGATATCGAACAGCCTGTGACACTGAACATACATAAGTTTCTATAAGCTTGGGAGTGTGTCTATTCGCCATTTGAAGTGTAGAGGTCAGCACTATATGTGTAGCTCCTGCAGTACGTTCGGATCATGCAGCTCACAACAATTTTCTGTAATGCCATAGAAACTATTTCTAGTACATATAGAGTCACTTCAGCGGACGCGCAGAGAATCTTCTTCACAATTCGTGGTACTCAAATAAATCCACAAAGCTGTAAGTTCCGTCTGGAATCATCACTCTCCTCCGCCCGTCACGCCAATCTGCAAATGGTGCAAAGCGCTGCTCAAAAGGTTGGGCACAAAAGGATTTAAACCATGTTGATAATACTGACATGATTATAAAAGATCTCAAACCCGGAGCTTGTGATTAATATAAAGACGAAAAACGCACAAAAAAGAGAGGATGAGATAAGAAAGTTCCCGACCCGTGACCACGATAAACACCTCCAATTCTACGTTTCTCTCTGGCTCCTTATAAGCAACGTACACCGTGCGAAAGTCTCCACTTCTCCTCCAACTAAAGAAAGCACAATAACAACGACATCAACATCAGTATCAACATTTGTAGAAAGAAGACTATGGATCATGAAGATTCAAAGCACAAGGAGAAAAAATTCCCTAGTGTAGAGCAGATGAATCCTACATTTTCAAAAGAAATTCTTGTCTCTGGGCCAACAAGGAGAGAACAAGCTGCCGCTTCGAAAGTCCTCCACCAGAGGGATTGGAAAAAAAATCAAGCGACTGATGTTATGACGAGCTGCTAGCTTTTTTTGATCCTGTAGCTTCATTCAGCAAAGATGACGCTTGGTGGGGGCTTTCTTGCTCATTTGACAATACCTTGAAAAAACCGCTTGTAAATACATTATATTACAGCGCTGCGAGCTCGCTAATGCTGAAGGGGTGAACGTCACTGGAAGTTCCATTCCACCACCTTGCCGCAGCGATCTTATTGAAGGCCTCGGTCTGGTGGACGCCATCCCAGAAGGCGTATTTGGATCGGTCTGGGCAGATGTTCACTCCATCGTTGCAATTCAGTACTCTAGAGCCCATCTCGCAGCAAGCCCGCGTCGATTCCTCAAAACCTTTGTGTTGATCAAGAGGCCATGAGGATGAGAATTATGACTCATCAATCTTTTTCTTACCAAATTGCTGGGGATTGGTGTTGGTGTCCACCATGAGATCGTAGAAATTGGTGAGCACGATATGGATACCTTGGTGGGTGCTCGACATCTCGTCCAGGGCCGAGCGGAGCATTGTATTGTAGGATGACGCCGCGGCCTGAGCGACTGGAGCGCAGCTCCCATCCCGCTGCACATTGAGGGGAATGCATCCCACGGCGCTCAACCCAACCACGACGAACTTGCGAGCTCCCATCTCGTAGAGCCTCTGCAATAATCATGATCATCATCGCAAAGTTACCCATGAAGATCAAAACGACACTTACATGCATTTGTTCCATGACACCGTCCAAGACGCTTTGCAGGAAATCAGTGCTGAGATTCTTACGCTGCTCAAACTCATCGTTGACGTCGTTGTTTCCAATGCATATATAGAAGATGGATTGGGAAACAAGGCTGGACGACTCGTTTGATCCAAGCTGCTGTTGGAGCTGAGAGGCCATGGATTGGAAGTCATCAACTTGCTGGGGAAGTGTCTGGGCACCTTGCTACAGCATTTAGATCAGAGGATTAATTACATCAAAGCTCGAAGATTTAGAAGATTCGAGCTCTAACCGTGTGAGTGTTGGGAAGAACTCCAGAGCTAGTTGACCCAAAGTTGGCACCTTGTTGGAAGTTCTTTGTGCCATAGTATGCAGGTGGATATGGAAGGCCAAGGTAAGATGCTGTGCCATCAAGGAAAAGCCATTGTATATATGTAGATTAGAAAGAAATATTTTTATCTCAACTTACCAATCAAATCAACAACAAGGCGACCATTACTAAACCTTCCAGTTGCCTGGTGATTCTCAAAATCAATGCCATAAGGAGGGTGATTCGCCCTTGCTTGAGTGTTGAGGTGTTCATTGTCGCCTGCATCCACAAGGGAGTCCCCAAACGCAAACAAAGCTGGGACTGATGCAGTCGCAACCAAATAATCTAGCGACAATGTGGCCAAGATCAAGAAAAATGCCTGGAAATCCATTTGCATTTCTTGTGCTTGCTAGCTTTAATACCCAAATGAGGCGATAAGTATAGAGTCAAAGTGTTATTATTATTGTTATGTTGCCTTAATATATCGTTTTCTTGGTTCACATAAACAAAAAGTGCGTATCATTATAAAATCGTCCCACACCGCCATATTTTCTCTTGAGGCATCTTTGAGAATGAAAGCATGGATCAGCAAGCATTTGAGGTGTGTAACGCACAAAGTCGTTCAAGAACAGATACAGATAAGTGAACAAGTTTCAGATCCGCAAGAAACCGTGGTAACTGCAAGAAACTTTAAATGATTAGTTGTCTAATTTTCTTCTTCTCGCAGTGCAAAAGATATCTCTTTTGCGCGCACCACTGCAACGCCGAGGCTGAGAGCTGCGCTTTATTTAATTCATGCCCACCTTGCTCACAGCCTTGTGAGAAGCGCTGCTTTCACAGCAGACGTCTGTAGAGCTCTATGCAAGCCCTGCCTCGAGCCTTGCTCCTGGAACTGTGAGCATTTCAGCTGCAAGCTTCTCTGCTTCCAGATCTGCTAGAGGCCACGCTGTGACAGCCCGTGCACGAAGCTGCTCGGTTGTGGGCATCCCTGCATTGGCCTGTGTGGAGAGCCTTGCCCAAGTGCCTGCCGCATTTGCCATCCGGATACTTTCGATGCAATCACACGCATGACTCTGAAGGAGAGCGAGAGCTCCGACAGATTCATCGAGCTTCTCGACTGCGGCCACATCTTCGAGGTAACGGGGCTTGACCAGTGGATGGATATGGACGCTCACGGTGAGCCAGATTCTGCCAAAGCAATCGTCCCGAAATCCTGGTAACTCAAGCATCGTTCCTGATTTGACCTGTTTTTGCTTTCTTTCTTGCAGTCCGGCATGCAAGATGCCAGTCTGGAAGTCCTTTCGCTACGGAAACGTTATGAAGGAAAAGCTGCATCAGATAGAGCTCGTCAAGATGAAAGTCTATGGATACGTAAAAGCAGGGATGGAAATGCTAGAGAGGAAACAATACGAGCAAGCACACGGACATTTCAAAGAGGTCATAAAAAACCAGCCGGAGAACTTTGAAGCACACTTCGGATTCGCTCGAGCACTGTGCGGGATGGAAGAATTCGAGCACGCCGTCCCGGTTTATAGCAGGAGAGTAGCAGCCTGGGCACCGAAGTTCGAAGTTTGCCAGCCAAACGCGCTGATAATCCGCTCGACTCCAGCAGCTTAAACCCGAACTTCATCTCCGCCCCAAGTCAGTCTCTCGCGATCCAATCGCTCATCCAGTGGGGATCGGCACTGACAAGCCTGGGCGAGTTCTCCGACGCTGCGACTCTGTGTGAGATTGTTCTCAGGCATGACAAGAACAACGCTAGCGCCGAGAGCTTGAAAGAGATGGTGCGAAAGCGACTAACTCACCAGGTAATGGAAGCCATGCACACGGCTGAATCCAATCTCAGAGGCCAATGGTACCAGTGCCCAGAGGGCCATGTCTACGCTGTGGGAGATTGCGGTCGACCATATACGGAGTCGCGGTGCCCTGACTGTGGATCGACCATCGGTGGCCTCCACCATGACTTAGCTGCAGGGAACAAGCACTGGGAGAGGTAGGCATTAGTGGACTCATTTTATGATTGCTATGCCTCTCCTTTCTCTCATTATCTCACTATCTCACTGTGTGTTTGGAAATGCTCTATAACACTTTTTTTTGTTAAAACATGTTGGTATTTATAGCTGGGTATATTCTTTGGTGGCTTTGCGAATTTAGGGCTTTTTGGCTAGGGTTTTAGAGAGTATGCCCGCGGCAATGGAGGCGACGCAGGCGATGGACGTCGATGAGGCGCCCTTGGTGCCGTCAGAGAAGCCGCAATCGATCGAGCAGCTCACGCTTTCGTCGCTGCAGCAAGCCGCGGAGTTCTTCGGCAACGCTCCTCCAGATCCGGTAGGCGCCGAGAGGTGAGATCTCTTTAGTAGCGATGTAGCGAACCAAAGAGCTGATGGCGTCTTTCTTTGGCAGCCGGAGAATCAGGACTGCTTATAAGGTGTGTGCCCTTTTGAGAATGATTTTGTAAGGAACTTCGTACTCCTTTTGTTCTTCTCATTCTAGCGCATGCTTACATTAATTTTTCCTCTTCTTTTTTTTCCCTTGTGCCTTTCAGCACGCGGAGTATGCTGTGGTGAAAGATCTCCCACAAATCACACAGCAGCCTCTGAAAAACGCGTACGCATTAACGAATGCTGCTGTGACTGCCGCTACAGATGTGAAGCCTGCGGCTTTGCCAGATGCTTCACCCGGTCAGATTGTTCGTGCGGGCCCTGTCGGTCCTCAGCCTGCGTTTACTCCTTCCGGAACACCAGAAAGGTATGTAGCGACTCACGCTCATATGTTTCCGGTTTTAACAGATTTTTCCATTGTCTAGTGGTATAGCGAGATACCAACCGAGTGCGGCTGTAATGCGAAGGCTTCCCAGTAGGTGGCCGAAGCCGGAGTGGCATGCTCCATGGAAGAACTATAGAGTGAGACTTCACATTTTTTCACGAGTACTGTGTATTGATCTTATTGCAACTTCACAGGTTATTAGTGCTCACTTGGGATGGGTTCGAGCGATAGCCTTCGATCCAGGAAACGAGTGGTTCTGTACGGGATCTGCAGATCGTACAATAAAAGTAAGCTTTGTTTTTTTTTTTTTTTCCCTTCATTTTTATGCCGCTACTTCGTTCTGACCGTTGTGTTCGTTTTTAGATTTGGGATACTGCCTCAGCTACCCTGAAGTTGACGTTAACAGGACATGTTGAGCAAGTTCGAGGTTTGCATTCTACATTTGAAGTTTGGATTTAGTCTTAAATGTTTCTTGTATATTTGTTTGAAAAAGGGCTGGCTGTTAGTCCACGCCATCCTTACATGTTTTCGGCTGGAGACGACAAGCAAGTGAAATGTTGGGATCTCGAATACAACAAGGTGAGGAATGCGTCTGCTCTTAATTTAAAACTCATGCATGTTTGGGGCAGGTTATCCGATCCTACCATGGGCACTTAAGTGGAGTTTACTGTCTTACGCTTCATCCTACTCTGGATATACTCTTAACAGGAGGAAGGGATTCCGTCTGTCGAGTAAGATTTTAACTCATGAAGAGTGCCTGTTCTTATCCACACAAACTGCTTTCCAGGTCTGGGATATGCGGACAAAAGCTCAAATTTTTGCTCTATCTGGGCACGACAACACTGTATGCTCGGTGATAACACAAGCCACAGTAAGTTTTCAAACAGGGATTATTTTGTTTGTGTGCGTGACTCATACACTTTGGCAGGATCCACAAGTGGTGACTGGATCTCACGACTGCACGGTCAAGCTATGGAATCTAGCAGCGGGCAAGTTCTCCTAAATAGTTGAATTTGTAGTTTCACTGATAACGATTGTTCTGGTGTGCAGGAAAGACACTCTCGACTTTGACATTTCACAAAAAGTCGGTGCGCGCACTGGCCTTGCATCCGCTACAGTATGTTCGATTTTTCTTAAGTATGTTTGTTTCACTAACTTGCCTTGCAGGCCCGCGTTTGCATCTGCCTCAGCGGACAATATTAAGAAGTTCAGCTTGCCGAGGGGCGAGTTTGTGCACAACATGCTGTAAGTTAATTCCTTTTCTGTTTGATAGCGTCGAAACGTCAAAATTGGACATGGTTTGTGTGTTTTCTCACAGCTCACAGCAAAAGGCTATCGTTAACTGCATGGCTTTGAACGAAGAGAACGTGCTTGTAACAGGAGGTAAAACAACGCATCGACAAGTGTAGCTTCGAATCATCTAACGTTTGCGCTGTATCAGGTGATAATGGAAGCATCTGGTTCTGGGATTGGACGAGCGGCCATAACTTCCAGCAAACTCAAACCATCGTTCAGCCAGGTACGCATTTTGGTGGGGAAGTGGTCCAGGTTGCGTAACTCTTGCTCATGGCAGGTTCGCTGGATGCCGAAGCGAGTATCTTTGCGGCTTCTTTCGACATCACCGGGACCCGACTTGTAACTTGCGAAGCTGACAAGACGATAAAAATGTGGAGGCAAGACGAGAACGCCACGCCTCAGACGCATCCGCTCAACTTCAGGCCTCCAAGGGACATTCGAAGGTTTTAGTTCTCTCGGTATTGCTTGTACGCTAAAGGTATGGCTTTGGATTGCTCCAAGATGTTTGAGAAGAAAAAAACCATTTGTAGTTGCAGGCTCACATCAAACTTCCCTTACCGTACGTAGCGCTCGCAAACTGTGACTCGAGGTGGTGGAGCTTGAGCTGCGTCCAGCACTTTTGCAACTCGTCCTCGATCTCTTTCCGGCTCTTGGCGAGCTGGATGTGGAGAGCCTCGTACTTGGCCTTTTGGCTTTCCGGATCCAGCGACTTGGTTTCGTTCTCGAGCGCTAGCAGCTCCTCCTTGATCCTCTTGAGGCCGTCGCCCATGGTCACGTACTTTTGGCGGAGGTGGGAGGGCGTGACGCTGAGAGACTTTTGCTGGAGCTCGCGGAGCTCGTCCTTGCACTTGGCAAGGCTGGCGCTGATCTCATCGTACTTGGTGTGGAGCGATGATCCGTTGGTGGCCGCCGTGTTGGTGGCCTTGGATTCGCAGCGTTGGTGGTGGCTTAAGTCCTCCAGCTGCAGTGAAGAGTTTCTTTTCAAAGGCTTGGGTCAGTGGAATTGGATTGGAATGAAAGGAAAGAAGAAGATTTGAAAGGTTTCGATGCATAGATTTGTAGAATGCAAAGGAGGAAGAAGGAATGAAGAAAGAATCACACGGAAGAAGATTTGATGGGAGAGTGATACCTTTTGGACGATCTGTGGATGGGTGTGGTGGATCTTCCTGCGGGACTGTATAGGCGAGCGAGTTCCCGAGAGCTCATCGACCTGATCGCTGCATCCACACACGCCCAAAAGCATTCGCATTCTCCTCCCTCTTCCCGCCTCTTCCAATTTAAAAGATTCTATAAGGGCGCACCCCTCTGTGACGTGGGCCCTAAATATTAGGGCAAAAAAGAAGGATATGAAAGCATATTCTGTTAGGGTGTAGGGTTCCTCCCCTGTTTTAGGGCTCGTCCGAGCGCCTGGGTTTTTGCTTCTTCCGCCATGGCGAGTGCGGACGATTCTCTCGATAGTCTCCTGGACAGTGAGTGATGCGCGCGCGCACGGCGAATTCCTTGGATTCATGGGGTTTTCTTTCTTGTCTTGTGTTGCCAGGTGCGCTGGGCGATTTCAAGCCGGCGGATGGTCCATCTTCGAGGTAAGTAAGCGGCTCTCCTCCCCCGGGGTTTGATTGATCGGTCGTTAGATCGCCAGAGTCGCAGGCGCTGGGGAAGGGCTTGCCGCCGCTGCAAGTGGCGAAGAAGAGATCGTCGTCCAGCAGCAGCTCCAGCGCTAATCCAGATGTGAGCTCGCGGGCCGCGACGCTGGAGAAGCTCGCGGAGAAGACCAAGGACACGGTGCACCGCATTGATCCATTGCCGCAGGCGCAAGAGCAAGAGCAAGAGCTCCTGGAGAAGATGACCAAGGAATTTGAGTCTTACCTTGGAACAGAGGTAAAAAGGAAAGATCTCGTGTTCTTCGTTGTTCTTGCGATTCTCAAGGTTTTTATTTTTCTTTCAGGATCTACAATCCGTGATGGGGACTTTCATGCAGCAGCTCCTCTCGAAGGACGTGCTCTATCAGCCAATGCTGGAGATTGGCGAGAGATACCCGGAGTGGCTCAGCGCCAACAAGTCGAAACTCAGCCAGGAGGAGTTTGATCGATACTCGAGGCAGCACGATCTCATCAAGCAGCTCTGTCACGTCTACGAGACCACCCCTGACAACTTCAATGCCATCATGGAGCTGATGCAATCCATGCAGAGCTGCGGACAACCCCCGGCGGAGATGATCGAAGAACTCGCTCCTGGCTTGCAAATGTAAGTCCGTGTGTGTGTTCTTCGTCCTCTCTTAACTCCTGTTTCCCAGGTTCTCACCGGATAACTTGGCCTCCTTGCCACCGGGCCTAGCAAACGAGAACGCGAACTGCTGTATCATGTAGACCATGGATCGATCGAGTCAAGCTCCATGTTCAAAGCTCCGACTTTCAAGCTCCAAGCTCATAGGGGGAAGGAAAAAGGTGGAGGAGACACTCCGATAAGGAATTTCATGCATTCCAGGAGCTAGCTATGCATCACAAAAGAGGCAGAAGAACGAATATCTCCTTTCAAAGTGTCTCTCTTTTATCTTCGCACTTTGATCTTAGCTTTGATCTTTGTTTCTCGCAGCTTTGATATTCTCACTATACTTCGCTGTCAAGGAGTCTCAACTTTGCAGCGTTTTGTTGCAAACCTCACAGGATCCAAGGCTCTCGTCCAATCCTCGCGGTACTCCCGCCGTAGCTTCTCCCCGCGCTTCTCGATCCACAGCTCGAACGGTTCCATCGTCCTGCGACCATACCGCCAGGGAACGCGTTTATAATTTCTAAACACTTATTCTACTATATAGAATTAGATTAATTTTAAACATGTTTATAATTTATAAACTTTCTAAAACACAGTGATAATGTCTTTTGCATTAAAAAATTTACATTAACACTGTTAATTTTAGAGCTTTATAAAGGTGTTAACAAAGCTCTAAAATTCTAAAAATAAGACCATTGACTATATTTTAATTTTTGTGAATTATATGTTAGTTCACAATGGATTTTAGTTTTTTAACTGACTGTGGGATTAATCAAAAACTATTTCGTTGGTAAATTGTATAAGAGAGTGTCAAAAATACTATTAACAATCTTGAAACTTTACTAAAATATAATAATTTATCACAAATAATGATCCTGCAAAAGTACTATATAGTGAGGAAAGGACACATTCCAAAGCTCCCAGGTCTTCAATAGACACAGTCCGTTCCTAGATCTACTAATCTACAATCCTTGCCTGGGTACATTTACAAACGAGCAGAGCGACGGGAATGAGCCACCAGTTGTTCTCTTCCCTGCTTCATTCATAGAAACAGCGAGTGAATGAGAAAATATCAAACAAAACTTCTGTCAATTTTCCTTCCTTGGCCAAGTGGGGTTTCTCCATCGTTTAATCCACCACCGAGTGAACTCCCCACACCCAGAGCCCCACTATCATCCTCGGATCCAGTATTTTGGAAGAGGAGCGCCACCCCGATCCATCTACCAGCGTTTCGTTCTTGGCAGAAGCCCTTCCCCGATTTTAGTTCGAGCAGCGAGAATGCGGGTCGATCCGGGATTTATCAGAGTGCCATGGATGCCATATGGTTCAAGTAGATGGTATGATATTTTATTATTGGCTACCAGGTAAGTGTAAAGGTAAACCGGTGTAGAAGACCCAGGTTCGATGCCGAAGGGTCCAATCAAACAAGGACTTTTATGCAAAAATCTTTGCTCTTTAAGTAGCCCTTGTTTCTCAGAGCATGCGTTTTGGGTTCGATTCTTGCCAATGTTGCTTGTAAAGCAAAGAATATTCCAATAAGTTCCTTTACCATGTGGTTATTATTGTTATGACGGTTGATACATGGTTAAATGTATGAGTTTATCGTCACAACTTGTGGCGGCGTCGTGGCCCTGCGCGCTGACGTGGTCTTGTTCACTCCCACATCTATTTGATGATCTCGCGAAATCTATCTCCTCGTGTCCCTGCATTCGAAGTTTTCTCCCGGTCGAGAACTTTGTCTGGCCTCTCGAAAATGAGCAACGGGGTTCCACGAATCCGGAGAGTGAGGTATGCTGCCTTTTTTTTGTTTGTTTCTTTTTCCTCCAGAGATGAGATGGTCACATTTCCAAGGCAGAAGAAATGCGTAGAAATATTTTCTTCTATCAGCTAGCTGGTGCTAGCTTGGAGGACCTAAGAAAACGGCTGCAATGCAGAATTCTCCAGCATGCACTAGTTCAAAATCAGCCGGCACCATGAGGACACACAGCTCAGGTCAGGGCGAATCTCTTATTACAAGACCTTACATCATGCTTCAACTTGAGGTGTAATCTACTGTTCCGGGATTAGGATTATTATGGAGCTGGAGAGGGGCACAGCTCATCGTCGCAGGTGAGTTTGAGATTCTGGAACAGGTTGAGCTCGCAGCCGCAGGTCTCAGCGATGTCGATCAGGAGCTGGCAGCACTTGTCGCCTTGAATTGGAACAAGGCAAGCTTCAGGAAGCATGACGTTGAGGCAATCGATTACTGGAGCAGCAGAAGAAGCCTGTTTGATTGAAGATGCAAGAACAAGGGAAGCAAGGATGAGGAGAGCGCACTTGGAATTCTTCATAGTGCTTGGAACAAGCGCAGAGACGATATGCACACTACCCAGTTTATATAGTGGGAGAAGAATGGCTTCACCAGCGTGCCAACTAGGCATGCGCATTAGTCAACAGCGCTTTTAGGTGTTCCTACTGCAGAATCCCGATATAATCTGTAAGGTGATTGTGATTGTTTGTTGGGGCTTCCATAGCTGCTTGCTCCATTTGTTCTAGCTAGAGTGCTGTTCTTTTCCTCTAAGAATATCCTGGCCTAACATTTTCCTGATACTCCTCTGGAGATCCTCCTTTTGCTCCTCCTGCTCGCTAGTGGCCAGAAACCAAGGAGCTAAAATCTAGTTAAAACAACTGGATAGATTGACTGAGCATCCCTAGAATATGCCTTAAGGGAATCCTTAGGGAATATTTTAATATTTCCGCATTCTCTAATTAGCTCCATAGTTAGCCAAAAAAATCTTAGACATATAAGTGCATTCAAATATAACCATAGAAGGTGTATGAAAACCCCTTAACTTAATATATAAACCCAATTTCAGTAATTCTCGATAGAGGATCAAGAGTTAATATAATTGAGCTTGCAACCTGCAAAGTCCTGGGGCTTGGACTAATCCATCTAGCTTGCTTTCCCTTAGGAATTGAAAAAAACATTGTGATTAATAGAGAAACCCACCAATTTAAAATCCACCTTGTGGTGCTAAAAAGAATCTTTCTATGAGTACTTCATAGCAAATTCCCAAAGCCAAAAGTTTACTGATGGTTCAAGTACATAGTATGATATGCTGAGATCATGGCTATCAAGAGGTAAACTACCTGGTTTAATGCCAAAGAGTCCACTCTACAAGGACTTTTATGCAAAATTTTTGCTCAATAAGTTATTATTCTAGATTAAACCATACGTTTCGGGTTCGATTTTGGTCTGGATAAAAGGTAAAAATTTTTACGTCTGAGACTTCGATGAAAGCTTGTGGATCTCGCATTCCTGAAACAATATCGTGTATCAAGTATTCGTGCTTCTTTCCCTTTCAGGAGTCATGGCGTTGCCGACGACGGTGCTCAATCCGTTACTACTCCCTTCTTTCTCAGCTCCTTTGCTAGAAGCTCCCAAGAGAACCAGCGAGGAGCGTGTCGCTGCGTTTCACTTCCCAGGCCACGGCCGCGGCTCCTCAGCGCCCTCTTCGATTTCCAAGCTTCTCGGAGCTCAACCCTTCCAGTTTGATCTCCCGGAGCTGCCAGGCCTGGATAACTTGCACTCGCCACAAGAAGCCACCAAAGCGCAGCAAATGGCCGCCGTGCTTTTCGGAGCTGCATGACATGGATCCCTGGAGTCTGATATTAGCGTCGCCTGGAGTGGAATTGAGCGCTCTGATCTCTTCCTGCCGCCAAGGGTACTCATGGTTCTTGCTCTACGTGTGGAATTCAACCGGGGGTCATGAGCTGCTGCAAGACCGAAGACGTTTTGATCCTCCCCGGGAACGCCCACGTCTCGGCATTCTCAGCCATGGTTCTTGCTGGAGCAATGCCTCACTATGTTCTTCCTTGTTATGACGAGCTCTGGAATATTTCTCGTGGTGTCTCCGCAGAGAGCATCGAGTTGGCCATTTTGGATCTGCAGAAAAGAAAAGACGTGAGAATTGGAGCTGTTCTGATTGTCTTGCCAACTTACTATGGAGTGTGTAGCCCTGGAGGAGATCGCAAAGGTGTATCACGAGCATGGTATCCCGATCATAGTTGACGAGGCTCATGGAGCGCACTTCATGTTCCACTCGAGGTTTCCTGCAACGGCACTCGAGCAGGGAGCCGACGTTGTTGTCCAATCCACGCATAAGGTACTCTCGTCTCTTACGCAGTCCGGGATGCTCCATCTTGCGAGAGGCTGCGAGATTGTAAAGCACGAGAGAATTAGCAAGTGCCTTCGAACCTTGCAAAGCTTCAGTCCGAGTTACCTTCTCTTGGCCTCTCTCGATGCCGCAAGGGACCAGATGAGTTGTGCAGCAAGCGACGACCATCCATTGTTTGATACAGCTCTGGAGCTGGCTTCCACATTTCGACGACGCCTGAAACAAATCCCACAAGTTTTAGTCCTTGATAGAGAAAATGTGAGCTTGGCAGCCAAAGCTGATACCATTATTTATGAGCTTAGGATCACCATTGGGTTGTGGGAGCTCGGAGTCACAGGAACTCTTGCCGATGACTTTCTGTGTGATAAATGCGAGGTGGTGGCCGAGCTTCCTCTTCTGAACTCCATAACTTTTGCTATAGGAGCCAGCACTAGCAGCAGCGACATTGAGAAACTTATCAAAGGCTTTCAAGAGCTTTCGAGTTCTTCCAGATCGACAATAGGTCCTTATTCCAGACCCTGAGTGCCTGATTGTAAGAAAATCAAATGGAAAGCACTAGTTAGTCCAAGAGATGCTTTCTTTACAGAAACTTACTGCTGCAAAGCTGACGAAGCAGTGGGTCTAGCGAGTGCTGAGCTCGTGTGCCCGTATCCACCTGGTATTTCTGTGCTCTTTCCTCGAGTGGAGAGCTCGTCTCGCAGGAGGCTCTTGGCTATTTGAAGCAAGCCCATGCTTCAGGAATTACCATCAGTGGAGCATCAGATCCAACTCTGTCCACACTTCATGTCTTGAAGTGACAGCACAAAGATCCAGCTGCAAAGAAAACAACAAGAGTTAGATAACTGCAAAGGCATAGAAACTTCATTACGTACCAATCACTTCAAGGTTGTCATAGTTTTCATTATTTGAGCCTGAGTATATGTTTGCCATGAGAGCATAAGCTGTACCACCTTGATCGTCAACCTTTGATAACGCATCAAAGGCTACCTCTCCAATCACCGCATTTTTCCACTTGAAACAAGCCCCAAGCAAAGCCATCCATATCCTGGAGCACACCTCTTCCACAGGCAGGCTTTGCACCATCGCAAGCGCATCCTCCAGCCGATTAGCACGTCCAAGTAGATCAACCATGGAGATTACGTGCTCCACACTCGGACTAAGTCCATAATCCGAGCACATCGCCTGAAAGTATTCCATCCCCTTGTCGACCAAACCAGAGTGGCAGCAGACCGATAGAACTGAAGAGAATGTCACAGCGTCCGGCTTGGAAAACTCTTGCATTCTCTCGAACAGATCAAACACCGTGTCACTGTCCCCTTGACGGCTGTATCCTGCGATCAGTGCACTCCAAGACACTGCGTCCTTGTCTGGAAACCCATCGAACACTCGCCGAGATTCCACCATGTCACCACACTTGCCGTAGAAACTTATCAGCGAGTTTGCCACTGCCGGAGAGATCTCTGCCCCAGTTTCTTCGATCAGACGATGGATTTTCTGTCCAGCCTGCAGTGCTCCAAGACCCCCACAGGCCTTAAGTACCGATGCAAAAGTCTGCGAGTCCGGTTTCAGTCCTCGGAGTCCCATTTTCGAAAACTCCTGCAGGGCAAGCTCATGGTTGCCACTCTCGGTGTATGCTTCGATCATGATGTCTTTGATCACCATCTTGTCAAAGACCCGAGCCGCATCATCCAAACTTCCACACCAAGCGTAGAGACTGATCAAGTTATTTGCAGCGTAAACATCTTCCAGCCCGTCGAGAAACCAGGAATGAAAAGCCAATGCCTTCTCCAGCGACGCCACTTTCAAGGGCCTTCCATCCACAAGCCGAGCCTCTTCCTTCTCGGCCATATCCAAGCATGCCTGGAGAACCGCCACCAAAGTTCTCGAGCTGATGACCACGTCTAACGCTTGCATGGCCGTGAATAACTCGAGAGCTCGCTCGGCCTCGCCACCTTTTGCATACCCCATGATCATAACATTCCAGGAGACTGAATCCCGCTCTATCATCCCGTCGAAAACTCGCCGGCAATCCAGCAATCTCCCCCACTTTGCATACATATCCATCAGACTGTTGGAGACGAAAACGCTGGACAAAGTCCCTGTCCCTGTTCTTGCAAACTTGGAGTAAATCTCTCCGCCCCTGTCCAGCCATCCCAGATTCGTGCAAGCGTCGAGCACGGTCACCAGAGTCCGAGCATTCGCCTCCACTCCATCTTCCAAAAGCATAAGCTCAAAGAGCTTCAAGGCTAGCTCGTCTTCCCCTCCTTGCGAGCAAGCGCTTATCATGGCACTCCACAAAACCACGTCCTTTGTTCCCAACTTGGCAGCCTGGAAAATCTCTAGAGCTTCTCTCACGGTGCCACACTTTCCATAAAAATCCACCAGGGCGCTGGCCACGAACCTGTCCACCGAGAATCCACCACTCTGGAGCTGGGAATGAAGAGCCAAGCCTCTCTTGAGGCTCCTGAGCTTGATGATCTTCCCCTGTAAATCTGTCACCCCCTTTTCTCTAGCGGCCAGCGAAGAACACGCCTGGAGAGCCGCGACGAAGCTCCGGCCGTTTGGATCCAACCCCTCGGCATGCAGCCGCGCAAAGAACTGGAGCGCGAGCTCCGGCTGGCCGCACCGCGCGTAGCCGCCGATGACGCAGTTCCACGACGCCGCGGTGCGCCGATCCATGGAATCGAAAATGCGGCGTGCCTCGTCCATCCTGCCCCGTTTCGCAAATCCATCAATGATTGCGTTGATCAAGAGGAGATCGCGCTCGCGGCCGTCGCCGTCCAGCTGGATTGGAGCCATTCCTCTCAGCGCGACATTGATTTGCCGAATCATCTGATTTTAGGGTTCTTGAGGTTTAGAGACGAAGAGCAAATCCTGACCGTTAAAAATAATCGTAGTAAGGGTATGATATTTTATTATCGGAACCCGGTTGCTGAGATGATGGCTATCCGGTAAGTGTAGAGGTAAACCGGTGTAGAAGACCCGGGTTCGATGCCGAAGGGTCCAATCAACAAGGACTTTTATGAAAAAATCTTTGCTCTTTAAGTAGCCCTTGTTAGCTCACTAAAACAACTTAAACCAGTAAGTTAGGCCATTCTTGCCAATGTAAGGATATTCGCATGTTAACCAATAATTCTTAAACTCAAATTAGGATTGAAAGAAAACATCATTTAATATTATTAATCGTAAAATAATAAGAAAGAGAGCTTTCACTTTATTCCCATCATTTTACCGCTCTCTATTCTATTTGGATTGTTCTTGGCTGTGGCTTGGGGATCTTTGGAATTGTGACAGTGAGGACACCGTGTTCTACTGTAGCTTTGATTGCCTCCACATTCGCACTCTCGGGCAGCCGGAATTTCCGCAAGAAGCTGCCATGGCTGCGCTCCACGCGGTGCCACTTATCGCTCTTGTCAGACTCGTGCTTCTTCCTCTCGCCACTGATCTGGAGGGTGCGGCCGTCCTCCACGCTGATCTTCACTTCCTCTCTACTCACACCCGGGAGATCGGCCTTGAAGATGTGTGCCTCGGGTGTCTCGAGCCAATCCACGCGAGTGTTGGCGACGGCGCTGCTGTTGTCACAAGAAAAGATGGACGAGATCTCCTCAAAGGGATCCAATATGTTTGAACCGTAGAAATACAAAGCCATGTGGGCAAGAGATTTGCTGGGTGAATGCTAGAAACAAATAGACTTGATCAATGCTGGATGTGAGCGATTGCTCCTCTTTTATACACTGGGATGACTCCTCTAGGACACTCTAGAGTGTTCCCATATATTCTAGAGGACTCTAGCATATTCATATTGATTGTTAAACAAAATTATATAAGAACAGTCACATTCAGAATAAATGGCCTATGCAGGTTTCGAACCTGCGACCTTGGCGTTATTAGCACCACGCTCTGACCAACTGAGCTAATAGGCCTTAGGCATTGGTTAAACTCCTGTACGTTACTGTTTTTCAAGTGTTTAAATTTGGACAAGTTTATTTTGCTAAACAAAAATTGCATTAATGTGTTATCAGAATTCCACGGACTTCAAGAATTTTAGTGTTTTTCGACTTTGGCTTTGTTTTGGTGCTAAAAACCTGTAAGGCCTAGAAAGAGACGAAACTGAAAAGGAGAGAGGGAGCACGTACCTAAAAATATACAAAGGGATCCAAGCGTATCTGCATGTCCTGCCGTTAAAGAGAATGCTGGCAAAACTAAGAAAACATACCGGCGGTGGTAACTCTGGAGGAGAAGTGACACCAGCAGGCCTGTGTTGCTCCACGTACTCGCCATAGTGAAGCACAGCCACTTTGCTCGTTCTTGGTAGCTTTGCCGCATGGGGGTTCTTCTTCTCGATCAGCTTGGACAACATAGCCTGTGCATTTAGGAGGCGTGCATACTCCCTTGTTGGATCAGTGGTGTACCGGCTCCAAACCGCTGGATGTGGCCCAGGGGTGTCTTTGTGCCAGCCATAACCACAAACATTACAGTACGTCACCCATTCTCGTAACGCTAGCCCTAGTTCCGCCCCGTTATCTGGAGCCAACGCCTCCATGATCACACCCCGGGCCTCCTCGCCAAACCCCTGGGCATACCTGGTGACGACCGCTCGGTGGAATGGAACCACGACGTTTGCTAGGATTTCCACTTCCGCTTCAGCCAGGCCCAAACGATTCTCCAGCGAAAGACACAAGCATGCCGCGAACATCTGGAAGTTGGCCCAGGCAGTGGGGTCCCGGTTTTCCAGCCTGACGATCCGACGCCGACGACCCTTACGGTATTGTCGCAGGGCCTTCGCAAGCACGGATCTGGTGCGAGCATCGAGCTCGCTCTCACACGAGTCGCGGTAGATTGTGGTCAGGCTTTCAGCGACCATCCTGATGCAGTCATAGACAAGGAAGAAAAGAGGGCCCCCGGTGAAGCGGCTGTAGTTGGCCTTCAGCTTCAGTTCGGACTGCAGCGCCTCGCTTGCATCAGCCCAAGCACCCAGGTTGTGGATCACGTCTGCGAGATCTCCCAGAGGCCGCTCCAAACCACCCAGGTCCATAGAAGGCAGCTTCTGCCGCATGGTCTCGAAGTCTTCCTTGGTGCTGCAGCACATCACACCAGGTACCCGCTGACGAGTAAAAGGCAAAGACCCCACAAACACCACCTTTTTCTTCGCATCCAAGAAGCGATCCTTGCCCGTGAAGAAGCTCCGCGCAACAGACAGCATCCTTGAAACAACCCACTTGACCTAACCCAAAACTAATAATCAACGTTTAAATATTAATAGACCCTTTCAAATTTAAATTTTAGGGAGATGGAGGGAGCCCGAAAGCTCGTCAAGGGCTCGGCGGATTCTTTCTGGTAGGCCGATTGTTCTCCATTTTTTTCCTTTCAGAAACGCTTCGCTCCATGATTCTTCCCATAGCCCTCTCGACCTGGTTGTTCCCGCTGGTTACAACGCTGGAAAAATTTAAAGCTCGACAACGAATCGAATTCCTGGAAGGAGGAAACAAACAACCTCACAAGAACATTCACACAAACTGCTGTAAAACCTGTGAAAAGCCAGGATATAAGTTACAGAACTTGCCTGGTCTCCAGGCAAGTGGATCGTGTGGAGGCCAGTGCCCGGTTTTGATCGTTGTCCGGAAGAAGCTGCCAGGATTAAATGGAAACTTAGCACTCGAAAGATCACAAGAAGAAAATATACAAGTCTTCGTCCTCAAGGCATTTTGGGAATGCATTGAGAGGCTGCTTCTACGTTGTAGACTTCCCTGGAATGTTTCCCTTGGAAGCACACCAGGCCTTGGCTACCTAGGCACACAAGCATAAGAGAAAGAAGTGAGAGAGATTAAGCACAACTCTACTGTTCCCTCCGCCCTTGTTGCCGAGAACAATGAAAGGGAAATTCTCTGGATCGGAGGGACTTGCCTGGAGAAGTTTCTTGCTGGTTTAGAAACTGATAAAGAGCTTTCAGTGGATGAGAAACTCCTCTCGCCTCTGAAAAATCCACAGGTCAGTCAAGGGAAGAAACATGAGGGGAAAGAGAGGGAGAGAAGTTTACTCACACGCTCCCGCGAATTTCTTGATTGCTGGTTTCTAGAGTAGCACGAGCTAATGGTATGGCAATGAGTTGTTCGTGGTGTAAGGATAGTGGTTGGAATGCATGTTTGACAATTTGAGACATTAGTTTAGCTCCCACTAGGCTGTGTTGCTCTTGCGTTTGGCTTGGGTCTAAGTCTAAGCTCCATGCTACTGTAGTCTATGGGGTACTCCTCCTTGCGTTAGGCCACCAATATTCCAAAATTGTGCCAAACACCGTCTAACACCATTTTGTGTGCAAGTGTTGGATATGGGGAGTTGGTGTTTGTGGGATTGTATCGAACCCTTGTTTCGTAGCGCAATGGGCTTAGAGTTTAGCTTAAAATTCATGTGCGCTACAATCACTCATTAACTCCATACTTGGGAGTTTGGCATTGTTCTTTCGTTCAATGGCTCAAGGCTCTGAAACTCAGGTTCCACACCATTATCCTTTGGACATGTGGCATATGACATGTGGCATATAGAGGGTTTAGGTTCCGTTATCCTATGGTAACCATAAGATAAAAGGGTAAAAACCACGTTGTAAGCAACCAAAGGGAACGACTTAAAAGATGGTCCATAGAGATTCAAATATAGAGGGAAAGGGCCTATGAACAAGAGTGCACCTCCTTTTCCAATCGGTTATGGTTGATGTTGATGCCCTTTATCGAGTTCCTCTTCCTTCTTTGATATTTTCTCATTTTTTCTGATAAGCCTGTTATTCCAGCATTTATGGATTTTCTAGATGAGGATTCTATGCTGTCAACGGTTATTGTATTTGATGTTCAGTATCCACAATGTGTAGAGCAAGATTTACTTTTTCTTGATGAGGTTTGTGAGGCTCAAAAAATTGAGTCGTGCATTCAAAGGCTTCGAAATAAGTTTGAGAGTTCTGTATCACATGCTGATGATTTGCCATTCTGGCATTTATATTCTCAATATCACCTTGAAGAAGGCTTTCTTTATTTTGTGGGAACAGATCCTGATGATCATTTATGGCCAATGGTGCCTTTAATCTTTATTCCATAATTTCTCTAGGCTTACCATGATTCTCTTATTCTTAGCGGGCATATAGGATTTCGTCATATGACCAAGAAGTTACATAGGTCTTTCTATTGGCCAAAGATATGACATGATGTTATTCAATATATGTGTAGTTGCGTTTGGTGCTAAGCTCGTAATACTCCCCTTTGTGTTGTGGAAGGATGGTTGGAGTCAATTATAGTTTTTCATTTGTTTAAGTTGGTGGCATTTGATCTTATATAACCTTTTTCACAATTGACTGCTAGCAATAAGTATATTATTATTGCTTCTAACTATTTGACTCGCTAAATGGAAGTTAAAGCTTTTGCTAGTGCCTCTACAACTACTATTGGATATTTCCTCCTCAATCAAGTGGTGTTTTAGCAATTTTGTCCAGAGTGAATTTTTTCAGATAATGGTCCCACATTTATAGCTGTACTTTGGGGATACATCACACTTTTATGAGTGTTTATCATCCATAAATAGACGGTTTGTTATAATGGCTCGTTCAGACATTTAAAAGGATGATCGCAAAATATATAAACTTTCAGCATTTAGATTGGGATGGTTATTTGCTATTTTTTCTATATGCATATGTTACAGGGGTGCAGAGTTCTATTGGTGCTTCACTATAAAAACTCTTATATGGTCATGATTCAATATTACCAACGGAGTTGGGTTTACCTTTGCGATTACCATGAGCTGCCGATGCTAGGTCGTGGGATTAGTATTTGATGAGCATTTTTCCACTTGTTTAAGTAGAGTTTGCCAAATATCTAGGCCGCGTACAAATGGGACAACAATGGCACTATAACTTCTATTATCATCCACCTGTGGAATACAAAGTGGATGATTTAATGTTAGTTTGTTTTCTCTATCTTATGGTACGTGGTTTATCTAAGGGGCTCTTTTCTTGGTGGAAAGGACTATATTGGGTGTTGCGGCAAGTTAGACTGCAAGTTTAGAAGGTTCGGCATCACATCCAATAGGTCAATCCTCCAGAAATTGTATATGTACAACAGTTAAAATGCTTCATAGAAAGGGATCAGGAACAACTGATACCACATACAAATCCACCAATGCCTCCTCCTGATGTTCTTCTAAATCTTGGTTTATCTATGAGAGAACTTTAATGGTCTTCCATCATTCTAAGAGGAGGGGATGATATAAGGTTTAAGTGTACGGTTACAATGCTATATATTAATATTAGCATAGTGAGAATCATATTGGTTTCAATCTGGACCACTCACTCAGGTTTTTAGGTTAATTGATATGCATATTTTCTATATTCCCTTTCCATATTCCATGCACTCACAAAACCATATTGAGCTACTTAAAAACCTATATAAAAATAAAAACACCATGTATGGAATGAAAACTATACTAACACCAAGATTTCTACCTAGATAAGCTATTGCTTGTACAAAAGTTGAGATTTTATTTTTTCCCTTGAATTTCCTTGAAGAAAAACCAGGGAACCAATGCTGGACAAGCATGTTTTTTTGTTCTTTCTTAGATGTATCACTAACAGAAAACCATTCCAATGCTCTCTCCGACCATCATAGAAGTGGGAATATAACCTCACAACTTATACTTTGATGATCAACTAAGAGAAAAAATTGTGCGACACAAATGAGCTTCTTGCAACACTAAGGTCTTGCAGCAAAAAGTAGGAACTTGAACAGTTGCTATCAAAGACTTATTTTGAGAAATGTTATTAAGTTCATAAACCTTTCGTAATAAGTACCATGAAATATGGCTATCATGTCAAACTGAAAAATGATCTGGGCAACGGGAGTGTGGAAACCCAAAGCCAGGTTGGCTGTAAATTGTTTTGACTGGTTGGAAGATTTGATTTGAAGATGGTTGAGCCGGATAGGAAGATGAGGTTAATAGGAGCCTGTGGATCACAGAAAGAAAGTAGTAACAACGTGTCCACCAAGAACTCCTATCCCACATGATTGGTGGTAATCTCTTTTTGACTCTGTGTAAATTTGCCACAAGGAACAATCCTAAGAGCAAGTGCAAGTTAGTATAATACATATCACTTGCTATTTAATTACTAAACTTGATTGAATTTGGTCAGAGTATTTACAGCGAGTTCACCTTAGAGTTCAAGTGACCACACCCAGGTTCTTTCTTGTGGAAGAAAATGGGTTGTGAAAATTTGTGGATCTTTGGCTGAGTCATTTTCATCAACCACCAGAGTCAACTCTCTAGAACATTCCACCCATAGATAATATCCCCCCAGAATCTGGGAAGGTCGAGCAGTGAGAAAAGCCAAAATTTACTTGTTCATACGAGGAATTGGTTATTCTTTTATCTTTAAGCAAGGACTATTTAAAGATCAGTCAGTTAGGACTTCCGTTTCTCAAAGCATGCGTTTCAGGTTCGATTCTGGTCGATATTACAAAAGCTAAGATATTCTTGAGTTATATCTCCTTTGCTGGAGGAATGACAGCACCTCCGTTTGCTCCACATTTTTGTGGAAGAGAAGAATTGGTTGGAGGCTTTTGTGTCGCTGGATAAAAGTTTGTGGATCTCACATTCCTGAAACAATACCGTTTATCGAGTATTCGTGCTTCAGCGATTCATGGCGTGGATGGCTATGCCGACGACGGTGCTCAACAATCATCCTCCGTCACTGCTCCCTTCTTCCTCAGCTCCTTTGCTAGAAGCTCTCAAGAGAACCGGCGAGGAGCGTGTCGCTGCGTTTCACTTCCCAGGCCACGGCCGCGGCTCCTCAGCGCCCTCTTCGATTTCCAAGCTTCTCGGAGCTCAACCCTTCCAGTTTGATCTCCCGGAGCTGCCAGGCCTGGATAACTTGCACTCGCCACAAGAAGCTATAGCGGAAGCGCAGCAAATGGCCGCCGAGCTTTTCGGAGCAGGGTACTCGTGGTTCTTGGTGAACGGCTCTACGTGTGGAATTCAAGCGGCGGTGATGAGCTGCTGCAAGCCCGGAGACGTTTTGATCCTCCCCAGGAACGCCCACGTCTCGGCATTCTCAGCCATGGTTCTTGCTGGAGCAATGCCTCACTATGTTCTTCCTTGTTATGACGAGCTCTGGGAGATTTCTCACGGCGTCTCCGCCGAGAGCATCGAGTTGGCCATCTTGGATCTGCAGAAAAGAAAAGACGTGAGAATTGGAGCTGTTCTGATTGTCTCGCCAACTTACTTTGGAGTGTGTAGCCCAGTGGAGGAGATCGCAAAGGTGTGTCACGAGCATGGTATCCCGATCATAGTTGACGAGGCTCATGGAGCGCACTTCAAGTTCCACTCGAGGTTTCCTGCAACGGCACTCGAGCAGGGAGCCGACGTTGTTGTCCAATCCACGCATAAGGTACTCTCGTCTCTTACGCAGTCCGGGATGCTCCATCTTGCGAGAGGCTGCGAGATTGTAAAGCACGAGAGAATTAGCAAGTGCCTTCGAACCTTGCAAAGCTCCAGTCCGAGTTACCTTCTCTTGGCCTCTCTCGATGCCGCAAGGGACCAGATGAGTTGTGCAGCAAGCGATGACCATCCATTGTTTGATACAGCTCTGGAGCTGGCTTCCACAGCTCGACGACGCCTGAAACAAATCCCACAAGTTTTAGTCCTTGATAGAGAAAATGTGAGCTTGGCAGCCAAAGCTGATACCATTTTTGATGAGCTTAGGATCACCATTGGTTTGTGGGAGCTCGGAGTCACAGGAACTTTTGCCGATGACTTTCTGTGCGATAAATGCAAGGTGGTGGCCGAGCTTCCTCTTCTGAACTCCATAACTTTTGCTATGGGAACCGGCACTAGCAGCAGCGACATTGAGAAACTTATCAAAGGCTTTCAAGAGCTTTCGAGTTCTTTCAGATTGACGATAGATTCTTATTCCAGACCCCGAGTGCCTGATTGTTACAAAATCGGATGGAAAGCACTAGTTAGTCCAAGAGAGGCATTCTTTGCAGAAACTTACTGCTGCAAAGCTGAAGAAGCAGTGGGTCTAGCGAGTGCTGAGCTCGTGTGCCCGTATCCACCTGGTATTTCTGTGCTCTTTCCTCGAGTGGAGAGCTCGTCTCGCAGGAGGCTCTTGGCTATTTGAAGCAAGCCCATGCTTCAGGAATTACCATCAGTGGAGCATCAGATCCAACTCTGTCCACACTTCATGTCTTGAAGTGACAGCACAAAGATCCAGCTGCAAAGAAAACAACAAGAGTTAGATAACTGCAAAGGCATAGAAACTTCATTACGTACCAATCACTTCAAGGTTGTCATAGTTTTCATTATTTGAGCCTGAGTATATGTTTGCCATGAGAGCATAAGCTGTACCACCTTGATCGTCAACCTTTGGCAGAGCATCAAAGGCTACCTCTCCAATCACTGCATTTTTCCACTTGAAACAAGCCCCAAGCAAAGCCATCCATATCCTGGAGCACACCTCTTCCACGGGCAGGCTTTGCACCATCGCAAGCGCATCCTCCAGCCGATTAGCACGTCCAAGTAGATCAACCATGGAGATTACGTGCTCCACACTCGGACTAAGTCCATAGTCCGAGCACATCGCGTGAAAGTATTCCATCCCCTTGTCGACCAAACCAGCGTGGCAGCAGACCGATAGAACTGAAGAGAATGTCACAGCGTCCGGCTTGGCGAACTCTTGCATTCTCTCGAACAGATCAAACACCGCGTCACTGTCCCCTTGACGGCTGTATCCCGCGATCAGTGCACTCCAAGACACTGCGTCCTTGTCTGGAAACCCATCAAACACTCGCCGAGATTCCACCATGTCACCACACTTGCCGTAGAAACTTATGAGCGAGTTTGCCACCGCCGGAGAGCTCTCGGCCCCAGTTTCTTCGATCAGACGATGGATTGCCTGTCCAGCCTGTAGTGCTCCAAGACCACCACAGGCCTTAAGTACCGATGCAAAAGTCTGCGAGTCCGGTTTCAGTCCTTGGAGTCCCATTTTCGAAAACTCCTGCAGGGCCAGCTCATGATGTTCCACGAAACCAAGTCTTTGATCACCATTTTGTCAAAAACCCGAGCCGCATCATCCAAACTTCCACACCAAGCGTAGAGACTGATCAAGTTGTTTGCAGCGTAAACATCTTCCAGCCCGTCGAGAAACCGGAAATGAAAAGCCAATCCCTTCTCCAACGACGCCACTTTCAAGGGCCTTCCATCCACAAGCCGAGCCTCTTCCTTCTCGGCCATATCCAAGCATGCCTGGAGAACCGCCACCAAAGTTCTGGAGCTGACGACCACGTCTAACGCTTGCATGGCCGTGAATAGCTCGACAGCTCGCTGGGCCTCGCCACCTTTTGCATATCCCATGATCAAAACATTCCAGGAGACCGAATCCCGCTCTAACATCCCATCGAAAACTCGCTGGCAATCCAGCAATCTCCCCCACTTTGCATACATATCCATCAGACTGTTGGAGACGAAAACGCTGGACGAAATCCCTGTCCCTGTTCTTGCAAACTTGGAGTAAATCTCTCCGCCCCTGTCCAGCCATCCCAGATTCGTGCAAGCGTCGAGCACGGCCACCAGAGTCCGAGCATTCGCCTCCACTCCATCTTCCAAAAGCATAAGCTCAAAGAGCTCCAAGGCTAGCTCGTCTTCCCCTCCTTGCGAGCAAGCGCTGATCATGGCACTCCACAAAACCACGTCCTTTGTTCCCAACTTGGCAGCCTGGAAAATCTCTAGAGCTTCTCTCACGGTGCCACACTTTCCATAGAAATCCACCAGGGCGCTCGCCACGAACCTGTCCACCAAGAATCCACCACTCCGGAGCTGGGAATGAAGAGCCAATCCTCTCTTGAGGCTCCTGAGCTTGATGATCCTCCCCTGTAAATCTCTCACCCCCTTTTCTGTAGCGGCCAGCGAAGAACACGCCTGGAGAGCCGCGACGAAGCTCCGGCCGTTTGGATCCAACCCCTCGGCATGCAGCCGCCCAAAGAACAGAAGCGCGAGATCCGGCTGGCCGCACCGTGCGTAGCCGCCGATGACGCAGTTCCACGACGCCGCGGTGCGCCGATCCATGGAATCGAAAATGCGGCGTGCCTCATCCATCCTGCCCCGTTTCGCAAATCCATCAATGATTGCGTTGATCAAGCCGATGTTCTTACCGGAGAGGAGATCGCGCTCGCGGCCGTCGCCGTCCAGCTGGATTGGAGCCATTTCTCGTAGCGCGACATTGATTTGCCCAATCATCTGATTTTAGGGTTCTTGAGGTTTAGAGACGAAGAACAAATCCTGACCGTTAAAAACAATCGTAGTAAAATCTGGGCAGATGTGGTGGCGCTCTGGCGGCTATCTGGCGGTGGAGGAGCGGCGCTGTGGAAAATTTTCATTCAGAGAACTTATATAACTCATGACCATTTTTGGGTTCGTTTTCTTTCTTTTACAGGAAAATAAAAATAGTAAGAACAATAGGAGGATAATGAAAAAAACTGTGCTTGCTCTATGCAAACTCACTGGATGCCGAGAGAGCGTTCTTGTGAGATTTGATCAGGCCTCCCAAAACCTGGCCGTGTTTTCGATACGGTCCTGGATCTGCCAATCTACGATCCTTGCCTGGGTACATTTACAGACGAGCAGAGCGACGGGAATGAGCTACCAGTTGTTCTCCTCACTTCTTCATTCGCGAGAAAATCTCGAACAAAACTCTCCTGTCGATTTTCCTTCCTTGGCCGAGTGGTTTAATCCACCACTGAGCGAACTCCCCACACCCAGAGCGCCACTATCGTCCTTGGATCCCACCACGCGGTGGTCGTCAAGTATTTTGGGAAGAGGAGCGGCGCCCGGATCCATCTAGATCCCGTCCTCTTACCTCTAAAATCGGGGAAGCGCTTCTGCCAAGGACGAAACGCTGGCCTCGAGCAGCGAGAATGCGGGTCGATCCGGGATTTAACAGAGTGCCATGGATGCCATATGGTTCAAATAGATGGTATGATATATTGTTATTGGAACCCGGTTGCTGAGATAATGGCTACCAGGTAAGTGTAGAGGTAAACCGGTATAGAAGACCCGGGTTCGATGCCGAAGGGTCCAATCAACAGGGACTTTTATGCAAAAATCTTGCTCTTTAAGTAGCCCTTGTTCTGGTTCGCTAGCTCACTAAAAGAACTTAGACCAGTCAGTTAGGACATCGGTTTCCCAGAGCATGCGTTTCGGGTTCGATTCTTGCCAATGTTATCTGCAAGGCAAAGAATATTCGCATGTTAACATCAAACCAAAAATGTTTATAATTCTTAAACTCAAATTAAGATTGAAAGAAAACATCATTTAATATTATTAATTGTAAAATAATTAGAAATGAAAGTTAAAAGAGAGCTTTCACTTTATTCCCATCATTTTACCGCTCTCTATTCTATTTGGATTGTTCTTGGCTGTGGCTTGGGGATCTTTGGAATTGTGACAGTGAGGACACCGTGTTCTACTGTAGCTTTGATTGCCTCCACATTCGCACTCTCGGGCAGCCGGAATTTCCGCAAGAAGCTGCCATGGCTGCGCTCCACGCGGTGCCACTTATCGCTCTTGTCAGACTCGTGCTTCTTCCTCTCGCCACTGATCTGGAGGGTGCGGCCGTCCTCCACGCTGATCTTCACTTCCTCTCTACTCACACCCGGGAGATCGGCCTTGAAGATGTGTGCCTCGGGTGTCTCGAGCCAATCCACGCGAGTGTTGGCGACGGCGCTGCTGTTGTCACAAGAAAAGATGGACGAGATCTCCTCAAAGGGATCCAAGATGTTTGAGCCGCCATTGCCGTAGAAATACAAAGCCATGTGGGCAAAGAGATTTGCTGGGTGAATGCTAGAAACAAATAGACTTGATCAATGCTGGATGTGAGCGATTGCTCCTCTTTTATACACTGGGATGACACCTCTAGGACACTCTAGAGTGTTCCCATATATTCTAGAGGACTCTAGCATATTCATATTGATTGTTAAACAAAATTGTATAACAATAGTCACATTCAGAATAACTGGCCTATGCAGGTTTCGAACCTGCGACCTTGGCGTTATTAGCACCATGCTCTGACCAACTGAGCTAATAGGCCTTAGTCATTGGTTAAACTCCTGTAATGTGGAGCCACGTGTTTTTCAAGTGTTCAAGTTTGAGGCCTGTGGCATTCCACTTCAATTAGTTTATTTTGCTAAACAAAAATTGCATTAATGTTTTAAATTCCACTGGATCTTCGGACTTCAAGAATTTTAGTGTTTTTCGACTTTGGCTTTGTTTTGGTGCTAAAAACCTATAAGGCCTAGAAAGAGACGAAAGTGGAAAGGAGAGAGCACGGACCTAAAAATATAGAAAGGGATCCAATCTTATCTGCATGTCCTGCCGTTAAAAAGAATGCTGGCAAAACTAAGAAAACATACCGGCGGTGGTAACTCTGGAGGAGAAGTGACACCAGCAGGCCTGTGTTGCTCCACGTACTCGCCATAGTGAAGCACAGCCACTTTGCTCGTTCTTGGTAGCTTTGCCGCATGGGGGTTCTTCTTCTCGATCAGCTTGGACAACATAGCCTGTGCATTTAGGAGGCGTGCATACTCCCTTGTTGGATCAGTGGTGTACCGGCTCCAAACCGCTGGATGTGGCCCAGGGGTGTCTTTGTGCCAGCCATAACCACAAACATTACAGTACGTCACCCATTCTCGTAACGCTAGCCCTAGTTCCGCCCCGTTATCTGGAGCCAACGCCTCCATGATCACACCCCGGGCCTCCTCGCCAAACCCCTGGGCATACCTGGTGACGACCGCTCGGTGGAATGGAACCACGACGTTTGCTAGGATTTCCACTTCCGCTTCAGCCAGGCCCAAACGATTCTCCAGCGAAAGACACAAGCATGCCGCGAACATCTGGAAGTTGGCCCAGGCAGTGGGGTCCCGGTTTTCCAGCCTGACGATCCGACGCCGACGACCCTTACGGTATTGTCGCAGGGCCTTCGCAAGCACGGATCTGGTGCGAGCATCGAGCTCGCTCTCACACGAGTCGCGGTAGATTGTGGTCAGGCTTTCAGCGACCATCCTGATGCAGTCATAGACAAGGAAGAAAAGAGGGCCCCCGGTGAAGCGGCTGTAGTTGGCCTTCAGCTTCAGTTCGGACTGCAGCGCCTCGCTTGCATCAGCCCAAGCACCCAGGTTGTGGATCACGTCTGCGAGATCTCCCAGAGGCCGCTCCAAACCACCCAGGTCCATAGAAGGCAGCTTCTGCCGCATGGTCTCGAAGTCTTCCTTGGTGCTGCAGCACATCACACCAGGTACCCGCTGACGAGTAAAAGGCAAAGACCCCACAAACACCACCTTTTTCTTCGCATCCAAGAAGCGATCCTTGCCCGTGAAGAAGCTCCGCGCAACAGACAGCATCCTTGAAACAACCCACTTGACCTAACCCAAAACTAATAATCAACGTTTAAATATTAATAGACCCTTTCAAATTTAAATTTTAGGGAGATGGAGGGAGCCCGAAAGCTCGTCAAGGGCTCGGCGGATTCTTTCTGGTAGGCCGATTGTTCTCCATTTTTTTCCTTTCAGAAACGCTTCGCTCCATGATTCTTCCCATAGCCCTCTCGACCTGGTTGTTCCCGCTGGTTACAACGCTGGAAAAATTTAAAGCTCGACAACGAATCGAATTCCTGGAAGGAGGAAACAAACAACCTCACAAGAACATTCACACAAACTGCTGTAAAACCTGTGAAAAGCCAGGATCTAAGTTACAGAACTTGCCTGGTCTCCAGGCAAGTGGATCGTGTGGAGGCCAGCGCCCGGTTTTGATCGTTGTCCGGAAGAAGCTGCCAGGATTAAATGGAAACTTAGCACTCGAAAGATCACAAGAAGAAAATATACAAGTCTTCGTCCTCAAGGCATTTTGGGAATGCATTGAGAGGCTGCTTCTACGTTGTAGACTTCCCTGGAATGTTTCCCTTGGAAGCACACCAGGCCTTGGCTACCTAGGCACACAAGCGTAAGAGAAAGAAGCGAGAGAGATTAAGCACAACTCTACTGTTCCCTCCGCCCTTGTTGCCGAGAACAATGAAAGGGAAATTCTCTGGATCGGAGGGACTTGCCTGGAGAAGTTTCTTGCTGGTTTAGAAACTGATAAAGAGCTTTCAGTGGATGAGAAACTCCTCTCGCCTCTGAAAAATCCACAGGTCAGTCAAGGGAAGAAACAGGAGGGGAAAGAGAGGGAGAGAAGTTTACTCGCACGCTCCCGCGAATTTCTTGATTGCTGGTTTCTAGAGTAGCACGAGCTGACGGTGTGGCAATGAGTTGTTCGTGGTGGATGCGCAGTAGCATCGTCGCTACTCTTCCTACAGTTTCCACCTTTGAACGTAAGAACTCCAATCAGTGAAAGAAAGATCCACACGAAAAGAAGAAGCTTGTACCTGGGATCCACTGCTTGACGTATTTCAGCAGCTTCAAGGCTTCAAGGATCCACTGCTTGACCGAGCATCATCACGTTGAGTTGGGACTTCGTTTATTCTCCAGCCTCCTGCAAATACATGCCTGAAATGGTGAGCTTTTTGGAGCTACAGATTATACCCAACCTTGTCCCTTCTTCCTCGGCTAAGTCCAAGGCATCGATGATAGAAGACACGGTATCCTGCGTCTTTCGTCCGGCCAAAAGCTCCTTCTTCTTGCCTTGGAATCGTCTAGCTCGGATCATCCAGTTGTTGATCTAAAGGTAGAGCACGCGTGATTTGACCTTTTGCGAACTCTTGTTTTCTGGGGGTGTACGTTGATTGCCTGCACATTACTAAACGAGAGATTTTCTGACTCACACATTGCTTGCCGAACGAGCGTTTTTTTGGAACAAAGATGAATATATAATTGGCGATTGAAAAGCCTGGAAAAAAAATCTCAGTCCCGCCGCCAGGACCTGAAAACCATTAGAAAAGGGAAAAACGAAAAGCTGGCGAAAACATACCAGGCATAGCCGGCTTTACCACTCGTAGCTTTCCTTTACTCCTTCGATTCTCCAGCACCTCCAGCACCTGCACTTCACCATTATAAAGATTTCTGGTAAGAAACCAAAACATACTCGCCAGCCTGTGATGCTCCACGTAGTTTCGATAGTGCACGACCGCACATTTCCCCACCACGTCAAGGTTATTGCCCCTGCTCAGGATCTCCAATGCCTCCTTCATGTAGACCAGGCGTGCATACTCGGTTTGAGTATCCTCCTGAGGGCCCTCGATGAAAGTTGCGGGGTGAGCAGCTTTGTTGGGTTTGTCACGTTGACTGTAGAAGGTCGCCCACTCCTTCAGAACGAGCTCGAGTTCTGGCTTGCTTTCTGGTGCCAATGCCTTGAAGAGATCTTCAGCCTCCTCGTCAAGCTCTCCTTTGGATTCCACAACGTACCTGAAGTTTGCAAGAAGTAGAAGTTTGCAAGTTAGCAAGGCTGTCCATATCCAGTTCGCAACGTACCTTTCGACAACGCCTCGGTAGAAGTTAGCCATAATTTTCACGGCTTCTTCAGAGAGGGCAGTCTCCACGGGTTCCTGCATAGCCTTGTATAAACCAGCCGCGAACATTGCGAAAGTCGCAGAGCACGTCAAATCCGCTTTCTTTGCATGGAGAGTGCGTCCCTTGCAGGCCTTGCGGAGTGGCTTGTCGAATGAAGCTCTGATCGCAGAGCTTAGCTCCTTTTCGCAGGTCTTGCGGCAGATCCTCGTAAGCCTGTCCGAGAAGATCCGCATGCAGTCAAAGACGAGGAGCTTTGGCGATGTGTCGATCAGTCCCAGTCCGATATCCACCTGCATTGCATTCACAGCGACCCGGGAGGCCTGAAATGCATGCTCTGGGAAACCGATGTCCTAACCGACTGGTCTAAGTTGTTTTAGTGAGCCAGCGAACCAGAACAAGAATTACTTAAAGAGCAAGATT